AGCTGCAGAGGTCTGGCATGCCAATGCCTGATTCCTCAGTTCACCTTACACCCCTGTTCAGGTATGTGCTCCTGACCCCCTTAAGCTCCTAATTAAAAACTGTAAAGTTTAAAATTCGCTTATTCCGCGTGTTTTTTCGCTTGATTTTACCTTTAAGTGTTCCTAAAACACATTCCCATTGTTTTCGGGCGGTTTGCGGTCAGAATTTGCGGTGAAATTCGCGTTTTATCGTTCGCGGGTTTTAGTTCGAGATACGACAAAACGATCGATTTTTGCGCGAAACGCGATCCGAAATGAAAAAACTAAACGGTTTGTTCGGTTCCAGGTTGAGTGAGGAAGATCTCCTGCGATTTTCGGCAAGTTTCACCGTTCGGTTCGCGAGTTTCGAACAAAAAGGTAATTCTCCATAGGCTCTTTAACAAAATCGGATCAAATCTGATCCAAGTGCATCTTTTGAAATTTTCACAGTTTTTATCAAGAATGGCAAGTTTCGCGGTGTCCGTGTTGTTGGTGCTGCTGGTGGTGCATCCAGATGCGTCATCCGGCAGGTGTCATGTCCAAGATGGCCGCCTTCATTGTTCTGAGGCGTGCGACGCGGACGCGGTCCGCGCTTCCGAGTTCGACGGGAGGATCGTCCTGACGGGTCACGTTCTGGACTTCGGGTGTCTGGACTTCTTCGGGATCAAGGTTGGTTGAAGAAAAACTGATTTGTGGGTGTGAGTTTTTCAGTTTCCATGATTTTTCCAGAAAGTAGAGTTGCTGAGTCCCACTAGATGTGAGGGCAATTTTCGTCCGTCGTTGGTGGATCCGGTAGATTTTTGCGTGACCAGACGGGTTACGGTGGATCTTCAAACTTCTTCACCACACCCTCCGTCCGTCCCGAGCTCTTCGACGGGAATTCCGGTGACTCCGGAGGGACTGGTGATTCTGACGACGGCTACTCTTCCCACTTCCTTGTCGACGGAGGCGACATCTGTCGTCACTCATGGTGGTATCGTGAGCACACAAGATTCTAGTACGGATTCATCCGTGAGAGTTCGGTTGCTGACGACGCATATTGTTCCTGAAACGACAAAACAAACTACGCCGGCTCCTAGTAAGGACTTTTCGTTAGAGGTTTTCAAATGGGGTATTAAACAAAGTGCGCTGTTTTTTAGCAACAAGTAAGCCTTCTATCATCGTTTCGGTGCTGAAAAATCTTCCGGAAACCCGAATTCACTCTGGGGAACATGCCAACGTCACATTAACGGTAGTGGAGGGAAAAGCGGTCTTGGGCGCGGAGTTCGCTACCGAGCTATTTTCTAATTGGGCCATTGGGCTAATTAGTGGTCTTGGCGTGACGGTGTTTGGTTTGGCTGCTGGGTGGATGGCCTGGTGCTTGAGAAAAAAGGTAATTTGTTGCTTTCTTACGCATCTTTGTTACCTTTTTCTAATTGGGCCATTGGGCTAATTAGTGGTCTTGGCGTGACGGTGTTTGGTTTGGCTGCTGGGTGGATGGCCTGGTGTTTGAGAAAAAAGGTAATTTGTTGCTTTCTTACGCATCTTTGTTACCTTTTAAACACCTCGTTGCATGATATCGCCTTTTTAACCAACCTTTAACTACTAACAGTATTGCCCAAATCTTTGTCAACGTAAGATTTCAACCAAATCTAAACAAAGCATTGAAGAAATCGAAATGAAAGATTTATCTCTTGGACCTGTAGTAGTGC